TGGGGCAGTGCCCCCCCCCCCGTTTGACTTCTCAAAACGGCAACAGCAGCACTTCAGGTTCTTGGGGGCTCTCAGGCCCTGGGGCGTTTTGTGGAGCCATCACCCTCTGAGCAAGCTGGGGAAGGACAGAAGGAAATACCCTGTGGATGGTTCAAGGCTGCGTGGCAGCGGTGACTGGGCAAGGCCCGGACTCTCGGGGAGACGCCAGAAGGCAGGAGGAGGGCATGCACTGGACTGGGTCACAGCTTGGCAAGCGTTCTGGTTGTGCCCGTTTCTCTTCCTGGCCCTGTCAGCAGAACTGTCCCCGCTTTGTCCTCCCTGTCCCTGAAATGCAAGACGGCAGAGTTTGAGAGGGGTGGGGGAGAGGCAAACAGCCAGCGGAAATGGCAGATTGATTTCTGCCTGCTGGCTGCGAAGAAAGGAAGGCTTGCGTCCCTGGGTGAGGAACCTCGGCTGCTGGTCTCTGCCGGCCTGAGAAAGGGTTAGGTGCCCGTGGCTGGGGAGGCACTCACCGGACACGTTGTGTCCCCCAGCCCTCTTGGGTGCCTGCAGTGCCTTTTGCACGGGGCCTTGAGCCCCTTCCTTGACTCCCCTGCTCCCTCGTCCCACCTTCTGTCTCAGGCTGGGTGCTCTGGAGCCGATGCTGCTGCTGCTGCCACCGCCTGCCATGCCCAGTTGCTGCTGGGGGCTAGCTTTGCTCTGGCAGTGGCAGTGGCGGCGGGCACCCAGATGGACGGCCTTCCCAGTCGCCCTTGGTTTGTGCCTTTGGGGGGGCCTCCTGAGCAGAGGCACCTCTGCCAGAGCAGGGGCCGAGGCAGCCGGCAGAAGGAACCAAAGAACCAGTGGTGGGCTTGGGAGCGGAGGAGGTCACTCCCTGCCTTTAGTGCTCCTTGCAGAAGCCTTGCGGGTGACTGAGGAGGCCCCTTTTCCCTGGTGTGGGATTGCTCCAGTCTCACTTGGGGAGAGAAGTGCTGGTGGGGCCTCTGCCTCTTCCTTCGCCTTCGGAAGCAGGCCGTGTCATGGGGCTGGCCCTGTTTTGTGTCTGCTGACCCTCAGCCCCGATTGAGTGGGTCCCGGCTCCCCCCTTCCTGTGCCTTGTCTGCTGCACCTGGGCCATGGCCCGTTGGGTGAAGGCCCCCTTCCTGCTTCCTGCCCCAGCCCTCGGGGAACAAAGCAGCCCAGACGGCAGGCCGCCTCCTCGTCTCCCGGGACATAATGCTGTGATGGTTGAGCAATAGAATTTCAGGTGACTACTTGAGACGGGTTAATAATGTCTGCACAGAATGTTTGTATATTTGAAGTTGTGATTTTCAGAGGAAGTCCCTGGTTTTATTAAATTGTTCTCTTGGGCGAGGTGTCCTGTGTTCTGGTGTCCTTCCACAGCCAAGAAATGAAGCCTGCGTCTTTCTCCTAAAATGAATTGTTTCCCTACGTACCCCTTGCAAATCGTTCTCGTGGGACGAGGGGATCTGTTGTGAAATTCACCCTCGGGAAAGCTTGGCTGAGGCCTCTGCCTTTCAGGCAGCCCTTTCCCCTGCAAGGAACCGCTGTAGCCGGCCAAACGACATGGTCTGCGAAATCGGACTGCCTGTGGCTGCACCGTGGACTTGCCAGGAAGGGTCAGACCTTCCTCAGCAGCAGTTGCTCCTGGAGGTCTGTGTCGGCCTTTGAGACAAAACTGGAGCCGCAGCGCTGGGACATTCCTTCCTCCCTTCCTTCAGCCAAAATACAAGTTCAGTAGTGACTACATACAAGGCACATTGTAGTTTTCCCACCCATGCCACCACCTTCACCCTTGCGACTAGGCTTATCCGTAATGCCAGTTGATGTCCATTTTCACCCATTCTTCTCCAAAAATGCATGGATTCTTTTGGCTGGCCTATAGCCTTTCCCCTTCAAAAAGACAGCTCCGAGTATGAATAACATACCTCTTTGAAATCACTAGACCTTTACCATTCCTTATTTTCACTTCACGTGTTAACTGATCATTAATTGCTAAGCTGGGACACTTTTTAGGCTAATGTGTAAAACGACGCGCCTGCTGCTGCTTGTGTTGTGGGCAGTGTCAGGCGACTCTTGGGGTGTTTTTGAAGTAGGGGAGATGTTCCGGGAGTGATCTGTCGGCGCCATCTCCCAGGATGTTGCCATGGCTGAGCAGGGATTTGAACTCAAAACGCCCGCGAGTTTTAGCCTCATGCTCTGTCTACTCCCTCACCCTCGTTCTCAGTAGCTGCTACCAGGGGCGGGACAGGGGATCCTTTGGTGGCCTGCGGCCAGCAGGGTCCCCAGTGCCTGCCGCGCCTGCCTTCCTTTGGGAGCAAGGGCCAAGATCTGGCACAGACCAAGCCTTTGAAGGGGAAAGAGCCCCATCCACTTTGAGCGGCTGCAGACGTGTTACCTGGCCTAGTTCTTCCTCCCCCCCCCCCAGCTGCGGGGTTTGAGAAGGCTCCCTGGGGTCGCCCAGCTGGACTCAGCTCTTTTGACCTGTTTGTGAGAGCCTGAGGGGGAGGGGGTGAGCGAGCTGGCATTGCCCGGGGGGGGGCTGTGGCTTCATCGCTTGCCCATTTGTGGACATCTGTGTTGCAGTTCGTCAGCTGAAACCACGCCTCCCCCCTGCACAAGCTGATCCCCAAGCTGAGGGGAAAGGTTCGTGGGGGCTTCTGAGAGGCCCCCTCCCCTTGGGAGGCTGGGCAAGCAGCCGGCTCCAGGTGCCACGGCGAGCTGGCATTGCCCGGGGGGGGGCTGTGGCTTCATCGCTTGCCCATTTGTGGACATCTGTGTTGCAGTTCGTCAGCTGAAACCACGCCTCCCCCCTGCACAAGCTGATCCCCAAGCTGAGGGGAAAGGTTCGTGGGGGCTTCTGAGAGGCCCCCTCCCCTTGGGAGGCTGGGCAAGCAGCCGGCTCCAGGTGCCACGAAGGGAGGCCGGCTGGCTGGCGGGCAGAGAGGAGGCATGANTCTTCTACGGGGGGTGTGTGTGTAGGGGTGGATGCACTGATCCAGAACTGCCTAGGAGAACGGGGGCCTCTCCCGGTGGAGGGGTGGGTGGGTGAACCTCCTTTCACATGGCTGTCCATGCGAGGGGCTGCCCAGCTGGGCCTTGTCCAATGATGGGTGGACATCACTGCGGGGCAACCCAGCTCCAACTTAGCTGCCAGACCCCCACACACACACACACACACATGCCCGGGGAAAGGAGATCAGAGCCAGCCGTAGCAGGCCATCTGGGTTCCCGAGGACCCTCCTCCAGCCTCTCCAGCATATTCTGAGGGGGAGAATAGGTGATGAACCCCAGAACCGAACTCCCAGCCCTTTGGCATGCAGCACCGCGCCCATTCACCCCAAGTGGTCGAGCGCTGGTGGTGGGTTAGGTGGGTGGGTGGGTGGGGGA